CGCCACCCGGCTTCCTGATTAGCAGGGAAGCCGCCTCCATGCTTCTCGTCACTAGGTGATGAGAAAGTATGGAGCCAGCTCACGGTCCAATCAGGTAAGCCAGGCGCTTCAAGGGAGCATGGAGCCGGCTTCCCGGCCAATCAAGAAGCCGGGCAGCGTGTAATGACTCGCTGCCTGGCTTCCTGATACCCGGAAGCTCAAGTATCAGGCTAGGCATCGGAGCACATAAAGTGGACCTGTCAGGAACGTTCACAATATACGGCAGCAGTATCATTGTCCGGGAACGCTCCACCTTTTATCACTAAAGAGTCTCCAATGTGCTCCATGAATGATTCCCGAACTGCAGCACCACGAGTACTCGCCCAAATACTCGGCATCGGCACCAATAGCGATACTAGTATCGGTGCATCCCTAAGATATATATATCTTAGGGATGCACCAATACTGCCCCGATATTGGAACTTCTGGTCAGAGGGAGATTTCCTCTGACCGGCACTGGAACATGGGGCCATTACCAGCTGCCCGGCCTCCTGATTGGCCAGGAAGCCGGCTCCATGCTGTTTGGCCAGCTCAATGCTGATGGGCTGAGAAGCCGGGCCAATCTGCATGATCTGCATGATTGCCCGGGAAGCCGTCTCCATGCAAGTGGAATTAGCGGGATCAGCGAGTACCAAAAGATAAATATTGGCACTCGTATTCTATACCGAAAAACCAGTATTGGTGCAACCGTAATATACTGTATATATACAATGTCGTTTAAATTTGCAGAACTCAAGTGAGCGAAAGATGAGTGAATGGTCCCTTTATCCTCTTATATCCCCGATATCCTCTAATGACATTGTATCAGTACTTGTTCAGACCCTTCTAATCTGAAACCAAGTAACTCCAAGCAACCAATTAAAATGTCTCTTGATATTCTAATTTGTTCAAGATAAAAAAAAAGCTAGATTCTGATTGGCTGCAGTAAGCCCCACCTCCGTGTTCTGGATCCTGGCGTTTATTATGCACAGACATTGTGTGTTCTACAACAGTTGTATCGAATAAAGAATAGAATAGGAATTACGTGCTCAGCCATGGTAATACAAACTCTGCCAACTTGCTGGATTAATCAGCGAGACATATTAGAAACATATGGTACCGGCCTGCGTAAGAAGCAGCAGAGCGCCATAAAGGACAGCTCCAGCCAAACAGCTAAATAAACATTCGAAACAGAAATGTTGGAACCCGACTACCTGCCCAGGGATTTGTGAATGGTTGCTGATACCCTGGTGATCCCACCACCCCCTTCTGTGCTGTATGGCGGCATAGCAGAAAGAGGGTGACAACACTTTTAAGATACTGCAGTCCCGCGGATGGTGTGCCACTGCCCCGCCTCCTCTCGGCTCTTAAGGTTGTAATGACCACCTTTAGCCCACTCCCTTCTGTACCCCGCCCCATGGGGCCCAGAGCTGTTTGGCACTACCAGGATTAGGCAACATCGGCGCTCCAGCTGTTGTGGGACTGCAAGTTCCATGAGGCATTGCAAGACTCTAATAGGCACAGCCGTAACTCCCAAGGATGGATTTGTAGTTTCAACGCAGCTGGAGAAAAACGCTCCTTACATTGGTGGTCAGTGGGAAGAATGCTCCTTACATTGGTGGTCAGTGGGAAGAATGCTCCTTACATTGGTGGTCAGTGAGAAGAATGCTCCTTACATTGGTGGTCAGTGAGAAGAATGCTCCTTACATTGGTGGTCAGTGAGAAGAATGCACCTTACATTGGGGGTCAGTGGGAAGAATGCTAAAATGATCATTGGTGTCATATGCTTGGCCCTCAGCTGAATTGTGTTGGCCCCGGAACTATGCAGTCATCCTCAAATGGGAAGTCAATCAACCAGAGCGCAATGACCCCCTAGTAACCTCAGGAGAACCCCCGGGGTTCCATGGGACCCAAGGCTGAGAATGGCCGCTCTATGTGTTGCTTAGAACAGGTTGGTACAATGTATCTCTAGAATACCAGATCACTGGACCGGGGTGGACCGGGGCACTGAGGAAATCCCTGGATGGAAGAGCGAATCTCTGAGCAGGAAGACTCAGTTCCTGTACGTACCAGAAGCCTTCATTCTGAGTTGTAGCTTGAGACCTCCTTCAACTCTATTTCCCCAAAATCAGCCTTCGCTAGATCACAAGACTGGCTGAGCAGGATTCCACTTTTTTTTTGGCAGGTAAAGCAGTTCACAGTTTTGGTATTTCAGCCCCGAGTCTGTTTATTGGGAGTTCTGCTGTAAAGATCAGTAATTAAAATAAATACATTTATGCAAATAAGTGTTTATTGTCTCCCAAGCGGCGATGTGAATTCGCAGGCCATGGGACGCGCAGTTCATGTATTGTGCGGTACAGCGGGGAGGGCGCTTCTCTGCCCAAAACTATTTTTATATAAAGTTTTATGTTTGTGTCCCATTGGAACATTC